AAAAAAAAAAAAAAAAAGGACTATGAAATGGTGATGAGTCTAGGCTTCTCTGGATGTGTACCCCCATTTCCAGGACTTTCTAGTCATACACACTTGTGCCAGGCTTATGGATGAATTAATGTTGGCCATTCTTGTACTGGTTGGCTACCTTAAGCCAGAAGGTGCTGCCCAGAAAGCAGTGTGGCAGCAGTTGAGTGCATGAAGTCTAAGCCATTATTTGGTCGCCTGCATTTGCATGAAAGATTGGAGTTAGACAGAGTTCCTCTGAAGTTTTGATCTGCCTTTTCTTTTCTCAGTGTATGTTGTGGAAGAGCGGCGAAGAGATACCTCTGGTGAAAGTGCCTGCCTGACAGCATGTTGGACTGCATTGTGCTGCTGCTGCCTTTGGGACATGCTGACCTGAGTTCCCCGAGAAGCTAACCCTTTCGATACCTCTCTCTTGGAGTGCTATGCAGTCTCTTCCTCCTCCTCCTCCTCCTCCTCCTCCTCCTCCTCCTCCTGTCTCTTCTTTTCAGCAGCTTTTTAGTACTGTAATAAATGAGATGCTTTGCCTGAGCATAACATGCCTGCCAGAGTCGGATGCATGAGGTTGGATGCATCCTTTTTGATTTGAGTGGAGAATCCCTCCATCTTTGTTCATGATTGTTCTTTAAATAATGTACTATATTTTGTTTGGCAAAAGCTTTTACTACAAATTATGTATTCATAATTTAACCATTCTTAGAAATGGAGTAATATGCAATAATTTAAGGCAACTTTTTATTTTCTCTTACTTGCTTAATTTTCTGTTTTAATAAACTTTGTCCAATAAAATATGACCCAGAAATCTGTAAGGAACGAGTCACTTTTTCTTCTGAAAATGTTTAGAGCACCAAAATGCCAGTTATTTGCATACTGGTTCTCAAAGATGGGTTAAGGACTATTCTTTTTGTGTTGACCTTTATTATCTAAATAAGAGAAGAACCAGTGTGGTGTGATAGTTAAACTATTGGACTACAAAGAGGGAGAGCCAGGTTCTAAGTCTACCCTCAGCCATGGAAATTCATGGGGTGATTTTTGGCCAATCTCTCTTAGCTTAGCCTACCTCACAGGTTTGTTGTTACAAGGAAAAATGGAAGGAGATAACACTATTCGACTAATTACTGTCAAGGAGGTGATGGTCATTGCCTTACATGATTTTACAAGGAGAATAGTCAAATTCATGGAGAATTAAATAATAATCACTCCTGGGGCTGATGGGTCTCTTTTACCTCTAGAATCAAAACCATGTGTCTTAAAGGCTAGGGCTGTGCTGGGTCCTAGATTCAATCGGGAAAGATGATTCAGGTCAGGCAGGGTGCTCACATAACACCTCTCAGCAACTATTCAAATAAACTGCACATTTTTCTGGGCATCCCAGGAAAGTATGCGCTTGGTTGAGGAGATGCTCCAGCTGTTATCTGACATCTGAATCTAGACGGCTGCATGGCTACTGAGCAACAGTAGAAAAGGTCTGCCTGTCATACTCGAAAGCCTTGCTTCTTTCCAAAAATACAAAATTGCCTTTTTTTCCAACAGTCCAGGCTCAGTATGTCCAAAACTCTTCATAAATAGAGTCCAAACTTTGGGAACATAATATCTCATTAACATTCTTAACCTTAATGTCCATGCAAGGAGCTGGTTTACCATAACAATATCTAACCAACTAGCAATGGATATGTCCAAAACACATGTAATAAAATTCCTTCAATTTAATACATCTTGAACATAAAAAGGATGGCCGTTTATTAAACATTCACTGGGGAGTCCAATAAACCCTAAAAATAATTATTTGCTGATCTAAACTTGGTTTTTAAATCATAGGAAACATACTTACATTTTTTGAAACCTAAAACCATTGATGTTATAAGATACTTAGTTCTCTAATCTAAATTTCTTGTATGTTATCCAAGTACATGTTTATTATCTTTTTAAAAAAATAATATTGAATTTTTGCCATAGTATCTGTAGAAACCTCCAATAATTTAAAAATTTCAAAGGCTGTGAAAACTTCAGGGCTAAAGAATTAGCCAACTTTTTAACTGATTATATTGCAATTCAGCTAGTTTTAATAAATTCAAACATTTTAAAATATCATTAATTGATTAAGGACAATTATCTCCTTTTTAGCCCATGATTCCCCCCGCCAAGTTTTTTCCTTCCTATTTACAATAAAAATTATTCCAAAGTGTCAATTTTTCCAGTAAGTCTAAAAATGTCTAAAAAGCTTATGAAAAATTATAAAATGCTATAGTTAGAATCAAGAACACGCCAGAATGTCCAAGGTTTCAGTAAGAATTTCCAAACTGAACCCACAACTGAACAAATTCAATATCTTCATTCCAATTCATTAAAGGTTAAGAGAAATGCCCAATGACATGATTTAAAATCAGGAAAAAATAAAATCACAATTTTCACATGAAAGCATGATCATAGGTGTTTTTACCATAAAAAACTAGTATTTTATGATTTTTAAGAAATATTTAAGGGGAACCAACACAGGCTTTTACTCTCAACATACATATTATTCATTTTACATTTATTCCCCACAAATTCGGGGTACTTTCATCCATCTCTTAATATCCCTTTTCATCTATGTAATAAAAATCGAAATACATATTTCTACTAAACTAAATTATCCTCAGATATTTAATTGAATAAGGACCAAAAAAAATTGTAATCAGTAGGAACCTTGTTATTAATTGGAATGATGTTAAACTTAACTCCAAATTATTGTATACCCAGAATATATGCCATGTTTTTTAGATTTTTTAATCCGGCCTTTATTATTTTTATAAATAACTCAAGGTGGCAAACATACCTAATATTCCTTCCTCCTCCTATTTTTCCTACAACAACCCTGTGAGGTGGGTTGGGCTGAGAGAGGGTGATTGGCCCGAAGTCACTCAGCTGGCTTTCATGCCTAAGGGAGGCCTAGAACTCAGTCTTCTGCTTTCTAGGCCAGCACCTTAACCACTACACCAACCTGGCTCTTGTACAATGTTTACCTAATAATAAACGTTGTACAATTTCTACAAAATTGAGAAAAAATCTTTGATAATTATTGAAAAGACTCTAAATGTCATTTGTACAGTGGGGCAAAAAAGTATTTAGTTAGCCACCAATTGTGCAGGTTCTCCCACTTAAAAAGATGAGACAGGCCTGTAATTTTCATCA